AGAGACATGGACACAGCAGCTAATGGCTGTTCTGGCTCTTATAAAGCAAAAAATGCAAAAAAAAAAAAATGAAGTTGAGTGAGACGAATGCTGCCAAAGACAGGAAGACTGAAAGTGAAAACGAGAATAAAAAGCCCACAGTTGTGGTCAGACATTCCCACCCACTCATCATGGACATGAATGCCATATTAATTCTGGGCTTTCAATGATTGATTTGAGCCATTTTTTTCCCAGGGTGGAGTGATTATACAGCATACAACTTCAATGGCTTTTAAAACATAATTTGGGAGCTCGACTTTGAATTTATGATTCTAATCCACAGAAGGTCGTGGCTCAAATATATCCTTACACTCACTCAAATATTTTAATAAGTGAAACTGAAGGCTCTAAAGCTTAACAAGACCAGGGCAGGTTAACTTCCTGTTAGTAATCAAATATGATTGCAGGTTGGGTTTAGGGTTAGGGTTAGAGCTGCTTCTCCTCTGCATTGAAAGGAGTCAGCTGAGGTGCTTCAGGCATCTGATTAGGATCCATGTTGGACCCCTCCCTTTGGAGGTTTTCCAGGCACATCCCACTGGGAAGAGACTCCAGAGCAGAACTCATTGGAAGGATTATATATCCGCCTGGGAACACCTTAGGATTCCCCAGGAGGAGCTGGGCAGAGGGTTGTCTGGATTTGTCTCCTGGACTTTTCTATTTGACAGCATAAAAAGGGCTTTGTTTTGTAGCACTCATTAGGTTGCCCACTCTATCCCCCTCAGATTAAAACAACCCAGGAACCACCAAGGCTCAAATCTACCACAAACTGGAAAACACTTGAGCACCAGTGTCTCTGTCCACAGTGACACGGACTGGGAGGGTGCTAACCAAAACAGAAGCTCCTGTTCAAAAAGCTACTGAGTTTTGCCTGAAAACATTTAGTTGTCAAGCATGGTGGTGGTAGCATCATGATGTGGTACTTGTGCATTGTGCAAAGTGGATGGAACATTAATGGTTGAAATATTCAGCCACCAGGAGCTTGTTCAATGAAGACAAAAAAGCCTGTGGTCAACTTGCAACTTCCTGAGGGACAAAATGCCAAATATTAGTGTGGTGTATGTGTATGACACAAAAATGTGTTGGTTCTGACAAGTAAAATCATGGGATGTGAGGCTGAGCTGCTGAAGAAAGAAAGATTGAAAGTGATAAAATGAACAGGTAGCTTGAAACAAGACTATAAATAAAGGACAGAGAGAACTAACGTGTGCTGACAAATGTGTGCAGAAAGAAAAGAAAATGATAGAAGGAGAGCGGAAGCAGCAGGAAAAAGGATGTCTGAGAAGGCGCCGTGGCAATCGACTATAGTAGCCTTGGGAGATTTATAGTCTGAGCTGCTTTAGAGGACCATCCATCAGTTGAGGAAATGTGTCACAACAAAAATCACCACTGAGCCCCGACTTCAGAACCGGAGAAGATGTTCATGATCGCAACTGATTTAGGAAGTTTGTCTTTTGTTAAACTTGGTGTGACCTGCACTCTAAATGTGGGAAAAACTACAAAGAAGAAAAAAACTCCGAACATATACGCAAGTTATCTTGTCTCATACGTCTAAAGGGAGATTAAGATGTTTTTTCTAAAGCCTGGCTGCTGTTCAGATAGATTTAACATTAACTCTTCAGACTCCACTCTGGTTCCAACAACCCGATGCCCACAGACAGTTTCCATCCTTCTCACGACTTCCAAATTTTCTCATGAAGGATTTTGTAAAATAAGTGAAAGGAGTCCAACACACAAATCTTTAAATCTAATCATTACAAGCCTTAGACATGATACACTGAACCAGATGTTAATATAGTTTTGAAACGTCTGCCATCTTTTTTTATTTTGGAAATGTAACTCTGTCCAAAGTCAGGATTATGGTCTTAAAATCATCCCTGAAAGACCGTGAATCTTTGTAACCAGTCGAACCCAAGAGAGGCTGCTGAAATAAAAGAAAATCTTTGTTAAAGATGCTTTTTACTTCTTCGAGCACAACATTAATCCTTTGATACAGTTTAATTGATCATGAGCCTGTGCAGTTTGATCCATGTTTGGATTTATTTTTGGACTATGTGACTTTTCTTCTCCTTTCATCATTTAGATCAATGTATTTTCTGTAACAGGGTCTTATTCACAGTGGAAAGCTGTCTTTTTACATGTGTCAGTGTAAACTCCAAAAGGATGAAGCAAGGGTTAGGGATGGGTTACCTGGTTGCTAGAAAGGCAAAATGCAAGTTCAGTACATTCACCATCTTTTGGAATTGAGTTTTTGGACAAAAAATAAAATGATGATGACCACACAGYGACCAGTCCAACGGATCTGAACTTGATTTTAAAAAGCCAATTTTTTAAGTGTTTTTAGGAGCCAGCGAGCAGGAATCAATGATGTTTGAGAGCCAAAACAGACGGACAACTTTTGGTGGGAAGCTGAGCCAAATGAGCCACTTACCAGAAAACAACTGCAATTCTCATCAATACCCCACATAAACGATCATAATCTTAAAAAACAAAATAAACATTTGTTGTGTTGTAGTGCTGAGAGGATCCAAAATGCAGATGGACAAGCTTGAATTATTATTAACCAAAATACTTTAGTAATAAAATACATAGCTGCCAACTAAAGCCCTATTCTGACGGGATTAGTTTTACCTATAGGGACCTCACCCTATTTGTAATAATTACAGAGATTGTCTGTGTTGTTAATCCCGTGAGAATCRGCCATGTCAGTGATTTGTAAAGTAAATATTCCCCCGCAAATTACCTTCTATATTTCGCTGAACTCCGAGGTCCTGTGATATTACTAATCCAATGCGAATAGGCATCTCTGTGATTTGGACAGGAATGRACTGAATCCCGTATGTAATTAGGTGGTTTTGGTTTTCTTGGTGCATTTTTATTTACTTTTGGTGAAGAATGGAGGCTGGATTGGAGTGCAYTGAAAACCTTTTGGGACCCAGAAAAACCAGACACATTAGGCCTACGTGCGCCATTAAAAAAAAAGTTCTGAAGAGAGGGAGGAAGATCAGATGCAAAYGGTGGCTCACTGTACGGTAAGAATAATTATTTTTTTCTGTTTGTAGCCTTTTGGCTGATGCTGAATGTTGAACTGTGGCCGTAGCGCAGCAGGCTCGCGCTTTGGGTAGCTACTCGCACCGGGCGCACGCACCCTCGCCAGCTGTGAAGGTGTTCGTATACGTCAACCCCTTTGGRYGTTTACCTGTCTAATGAGCCTCAAAAATCTATAACTTTTGCTAAAAATCCATACCACTCATACCCGTGTGTGGCGGTGGGGTGGGTGGTCTGTCGGCCGTGGAGATGACAGTGCCTGCTGTAAAGCAAGAGGAAAGGAGAGCGGAAAAAGTGGATAACTTGATGTTTATTGTTTTTTTTTAACATCCGTTCAACGCCGTGTTCAACTAAATAGACAACAATTAACCAGGCTTCATTATCATATTCGGGAGATGTCTGTAAATTTCAGAAAAATCTCAGGYTTTGGTTATCCCGTGCGAATGCGCCACATAAAACACAGACATCGGGGAGTAATTTATTTTTTACATGGGGTCCCCAGATAATTCTTATCCCGTGCGAATAGGGCATAAGACAGCAAAAATACTTACTTCCTGTACTGGTTTGCACTCAGATGCAAACCAGTACAGGAACCCAGCTGACTGAAGGAAGATGGTATGCTCTGACAACACAGTGGTGAATCCAAGAACTACAGTATACACACAAATGTGCTGGGAGGGGTGAATACTGAGTGTATGCAGCTAGGTTAATTATYAGATGAGAGGCAGGTGTGCAAAGAACTGGAACTAGGAAACAATAGTTAAGTAAAAACCAATAATTAAGAACACAAAATMTACAATAACAAATACTCACAAATATAATAACCTATCCAAATGACCATGACGACACTGTGCTCAGTCCAAAAACAAGCAGGTTAGGACAAATAGAGATTCTAAATTGCCCTTAGGTATCAGTTTGTTAATGCAGTTGTCTCCATGTGGCCCCGTCATAAACCCCACCAGGGTGTAGCCCCTGTCTCTGACTGCTGGAGATAAGCACATTAAGAAAACGGARAGGTTGTGAAATTAACTTGGATAAAAATGTAGTTTTCAACTTGTTTTAACATCGGGTTAGAGATGAGGTAGATTAGTCTGCATCACTGGCCCACCCAATGCTCATTATATCCTAGGCCAACTTAAAAAGACATTTTCTTTTTGAATAAACATGTTATTTTGTCAGTTTCATTAAAAAGCCCACAGGACTACTTCCAAAAACTGAAGCAAGCCTTTAGTTCATTCCTGCATAAAAGAACCAAGTCCTTTCAGAGGATGAGTTAGGTACCCGCTTCTCCCTGGAATTGACTTGGATACTTGAGCTGCTCTCATGTCAAAAAAATCCTATAATATTGGGTTCACGTCTTATTAAAAGGAACAAACCTGCACCTTTTGGATTGGAACGAAAACTGGATGTGCACAAATTTCCCAAACACCCCAAACATTTAAATAAATTATATATATATAAATTATAATCAACACAAATGGGGGAAAACAAATGCATCTATGTTCATGTGTCTCCTGCATTGACCTTTGCAACTTCAGTGCTCAGTAAAAYGGATTTTTATTGTTGCAAAAGACAAATAAATTAACTTTTCTTGCACAGTTTCCTGCCTAATTTAGATTTTTCAGTCAGTGTGCATGATGGTAACRTAATCAAGAAAAGGCAGTGGGGGGGCAGACTGGGGCCCCACTGGCCCCTCATCATCCCTCTGTTGAATATGAAAATATATTATACCATAATGTGTTCAGTATGCCAGTTTAAAGGAAACCATATGAAAAAACCCAGACAAAGAGCCTTCTGTGCTCCAGCTGACCCCCCCCCCCCCCTCGCCTCCTCCCAACCTGATCCTTCGTCTGTTTCATGAGACACAAGGAGAGGGAGACGGCGCGAGAGGAGAGGTAAAAAAGGGGAGGTGTGTGTGTGTGCGTGTGTGTGTGTGTGTGTGCGGTTGCAGCGACTGAAAAGAGCAGCACACACCCTCCTCCTGCCTTCACACTGCCAGACCCACAGGAGTACAGGTGAGCAGCGAGGAGCTCCTGACTTCTGGATCTCTTATCTGTAGCTGCAGATACTCAAGTCACCTGCAGCTCGTTTTGGTATTTCTTTACGGGGTAAGATGCAATCTTTGTTTGGAGAAAAAGAAAGGAGGGGGGTGAATATGGCTGATGGGGGGAACAGGAGAGGAAGAGGAGGGAAACTTTGAAAAGTCTTTGTTTGATGACTGACATCTGGGTTTTGCTGTTTTGCGCCGAGTGCAGCCTTGAAAGGGGTGATGGTGTGTGTGTGTGTGTGTGTGTGTGTGTGTGTGTGTGTGTGCGGTGTGTGAAAGGGAACCAGCGGCATGTCTCTGGGTGAATGTGTTGTGGTTGTAGCTCCGTCTGAGGGT